AAGGTGATATCTCATTGTGGCTTTTATTTGCATTTCTCTGATGGTTAGTGATGTTAAGCATTTTTGCCTATGTCTATTGCCTATTTGTGTGTCATCTTTGGAGAAATGTCTATTCAGGTCCTCTGCCCATTTTTTAATAAGATTGCTTGGTTTTTTTGTTGTTGTTGAGTTGTATGAGTTCCTTATATATTTTAGATATTAGCCTCTTATAGGAGGCACTGTTGGCAAAAATCTTCTCCCATATAGATGAGGTATTACAGAATTGTACACCTGAAACCTATGTAACTTTACTAACAATTGTCACCCCAATGAACTTTAATTTAAAAAAAATAAATTTAAAAAAGAAATGCATACCAATTATTTCTAATTTCAGAAAGAATTCTCTCACCCCAGGAGAAAGAATTTAAAAAAAAAGGAATTTTCATTCTGAAGATGTTAACCCTTTGTAGGTGTGTTTATGCAAGTGAGTGTCACTGTCTAGAAGGCTAGTCAATTCAGCCATAGGCCACTGGTATTTTGCAGCACAGTGATTACTTTTAGTGATGTCAGAGGAATTTCTGTTATTTTATGTGAGTCATCATTACTGATATAGTTTATCCAAGAATTAACAAAATAATTAAAGTTATATATTCCTTATTACCTCAACCCTTTCTTGCTCCAGTCACCTCAAGAAAGCATATGCCTACAGCTTGGCTAATTCAACATGTCAAGTTTGGATTTTTCTTTTGTTGATATATGAGTCCACCAAATAGTTTCCCACTCTCAGATCCTTGTAGAAAAGAAAAAGGAGAAAAGTCAAAATAGAATGTGCTTTCCTTCAGATGGTCCCTTTATTTTGATACAAACTTCAAAAGATCAGAAAAAAAAGAGGGGGGGATTTTTCCAAAACATATGTTTAGTAAATCTAATTTAGGGATATTAAATATAGAAATAATGAATACTTGCCTTTCCATAATAAAAATACATATTCCTTCTGAAAACTGCAAGAGATGAATTTCTCTGGGAAACTTGTATAATCTCATTTCACAGAGCTAAAGTTCATGTCAGCATTTTTGTTCCTCAAATGTCTGAAGTTTCTGTCTTGCTTTGTGTAGGGGCATGGGGGCAGCAGCGGTTATTGATTACTTTGTGTAGTTCTGTACAACATGGAGCACAAGAAAAGGGAGGTGGGGAACTAGGGAGAAAGACTCATCCATCTGCCTCCTCTCTTGTTCTCCCTAGGTACATATAATATACCACTTGCCCAGAGCTCTTGGATTGCTGTAGTCAGGGATGTGCAGCAGTAAGGTTTGGGGGGAAGGTTGGAGGAGTGTGCAAGACCATGTCACAAATATCTGCTTGGTAGCCTAGGATTCCTATTTCAACTACTAAATACCCAGATCATCTGTTAGACCCAAATTTAAAGATTAGTAGAGACTCATTTTTGCTTCAGTTTCCTTATTTGTAAAATGCAAATAATTGAGTCATTGAGGGAATAAAATGGGATCATGCATATATAATACAATAGTATATAGCATATAATGCTCACCTAATAGTAGTGGTTAGTGTTGTTATTATTATGTGGCTCTTGGGCATTGTGTAGGTGAGGTGAATAAAGGTGGAGTCAATGAAAAAGAAGGGATTAAGTAATATCTATAAATGTGGCCAAATAAGAATATAGTTCCATTTGCTATCTGAGAAGCTTACCTGAAATTTACATTTTCAAAGAGAATGGAGAACATTTATACTTCTGTACATTCCTGCAGTTAGAGTTCACATGTTCAGGCACCATTGTTTCAACTGACATTTCTTCTTAGCTCCAGGAAAGATCACTGGAGTCCAATCCTCAAAGAACTACTTAAGGCTCAATACTGGATTCCTATGGAAGTAGAGGCCAGGCTTAAAGTCCCAAGAACTAGAAAAGCAATTCTATCCATTAAGGAAACTCCCAGGGGAGCATGGGGGTGTTTCTGTGTGTATTACAATTAGTGTAATAATCATTATTGTGCAGAGGAATTGACATGAGCTGATTGTTGAAAGCTGAGTATGTGTTCACCGGTTGAAGAAAGACCCTGAGGTGAAGGTGATTGGAGGGATGTTCAGAAAGACAGAGTTATGTGAACAAAAGCAGAGAGGCATGAAAGAGCATCAGGCCTGCTGTAGACCTGAAACTAATATAAAATAATGTTGAATGTCAACTGTAACTGAAAAAAAAATTTTAAAGAGCAGTAAGTTCTTTTTTTTTTTAAGATTTATTTTTTTATTGGGGAATTGGAACAGTGCTGGGGAATTGGGGGAAGGGGAACAGACAAGTTGCTGTCCTTTTGTTCTTCAGTCTAGTTGTGGAGGACGTTGCTTCACTGGCCCAAGTTGGCACCATCATTGCGCTCTTCCCGGGCAAGGCAGATCGGTCGCAGGCTTCTGGACGGCCGCTCACTGCGGCTGCTGGCCGCTCACGCTGGCTGCTGGCTACACACGGTAGCCCATGGCAACCCACTGCCACAGGGGCTGCAGCCTACGCCATCGCCAGCGACTCACAGCAGCCCAGCTCCAGGTTGAGCTGTTGTTCAGCATCTTAGCTGTGAAGGGCAGTGTCACTGGCCCTCATATGTGGGATCTGAACCGGGGCCCTCTGGCGTCCCAAGCCAGTTCTTAACCCTGAGCAGTAAGTTCTTTCGTGCCACTTAAACACAGAGTACAAGAGAGATGTGGCAGGGGCAGGGGGAAGCCAGGGAGGCTGAGAAGGATCAGGTTTCCTATGGTCTCGTAGAGCATGATAAGAAATCTGGACTTTCCTTTTATAATAAATAAGAAATTATGTCTGAAGACTCAGGAGAGGAAAACTAGAAGAGTATGGCTAGAAGCCAGATAAGGAATGATGGGGGCTGAAACTCAGAAGGATCAGTGGAAATTATAAGGATGATGCAGATACAAGAGAAGGTAAGAATCTATACCTGGGGGTAGTTAAAATAAAAAGTGAGCACACATAATTGTCCAATTAAATTTTACTTAGATGTTTTACAAAATTATTTAAAATATGAAGTCAAAGTTGGTTATACATTTAGCTGGGTTTTATTGATTATAGTAGACTATAGGAAATTAAGACTTTCCCAGAAAGTGGAGTGAGAGAATTCTTCAATCTATAGCCCTTTAACCTGGCAGAGATACTAAGCCTCAGGAATTTTATTTCTACCTGAAAGGTCAGCATGAGTCAAAGAGGGTCCTAGATACCCTAATGTAATATGGGGCTGGTGCAGAATGAAATCTCTAACTTCTAAAATTAGGATTCATATTTTAAGTAAACTCTAGGTAACTCAGCTTTAAGTACTTCTGAATTTAAGACTTCTAATAGTGTTGAGGACACTATCAACCAGCGATTGGTTTAAAAGAGTTCCATAGAATCCTATAAATCCTTGAACAAATGGTATTCAAGGTATAGGTTAAGACTACCTCACGGTCTATACTTTTAAAGTTATATTGCACTGGCCTGACAGGTAGAGTTTTTGCATGACACCAAAGTCGTCATTTGCTGGATCTCTTGGTTCTTCCTGGGTCTCAAAATTCTGTTCTGGCATAAACTTTTTCTATGCCAGTTAAGAGTTTATTACAAGTTAAAGCATTAAAGAAGCGACCTAGATATTTTGGGAGCAACCTAGAACCAAAACAATAATAAAAGTCAAGTCAACTTCCTATATATCAAAGTACCACATCTAAAAGGTCAAAGATGTAAAGAGTGACCTTTTACATTTTTAAAACACTACACAGTGTTTAGTTATTGTTTTCAAAATATTATCAGAGAATATAGAAATCTTCAAACAATAGCTAAAATGGATATAAAGTTTTTAAAGTGTTTATTCAGAGTTTAGTGAACACTCAAATATTTATTAATTACAAATCTATGTTACTATACATTTTACTTCCTATAATTGTAAAGATAAGCCAAAATGTAGCAGTACATGTGATCTAATTTATATTCCTAGCCCTACTCAATATGTACCTATATCTGAAATATAAACCTACGCTCAAGTGAAATGTAAAAGGATTATTACTCATAGTACTTTTTAAAGTTGAAGGTATATGCCTAGAGGCTGAATAATCCAGTACCAGTATACTGTAGTATACTTCATTTAGAAGTGCTAGTGTCTCTTAGCATGATGCCTTCTAAATAGTGACTGGCCTTGGTTGAAGAGGAAAGCCTCATGAAAATGGATATAAAAAGAAACAAACAAAAAAAACCCTCCAGCATTTGTCAAAGAGAAATCTGAAACCCAAAATTATTATTCACAATTTGTTATTAATTATAATTTGAGATAAATGCCCAGTTACTTCTAGGTTATGGATATCTGCCTTATACTGATAGATCAAAAAAAAAGGAGAGGGGGCAATTCCTGACAGTCACTGGAGGATAAAACTTATAGTTACATTTGGTTTCCAATTCTAGAAGGGTGAGAAAAGGTTACATTAAGGGAAGAAACTTATTATCTTAATAAAGCCATTAAAATATTATTCAAGGGGGGCCGGCCGAGTGTTGCGATGGTTAAGAACTGGCTTGGGACGCCAGAGGGCCCCAGTTCGGATCCCACATATGAGGGCCAGTGACACTGCCCTCTACAGCTAAGATGCTGAACAACAGCTCAACCTGGAGCTGGGCTGCTGTGAGTCACCGGCAATGGCGTAGGCTGCAGCCCCTGCTGCAGTGGGTTGCCATGGGCTACCGTGTGTGGCCAGCAGCCAGCGTGAGTGGCCAGCAGCCACAGTGAGTGGCCGTCCAGAAGCCGGCGACTGATCTGCCTCACCCGGGAAGAGCGCAATGATGGTGCCAACTTGGACCAGTGAAACAACGTCCTCCACAACTAGATTGAAGAACAAAACAACAGCAACTTGTCTGTTCCCCTTCCCCCAATTCCCCAGCACTGTTCCCATCCCCCCAATTCCCCAATAAAAATCTTTTAAAAAAAAGATTATTCGATGGGACCTCAACCCAAGCAGCCATATTGATAACACGCATTCCACTCTCATGTTTAAGACACAAAGGTCTCCATTTCTCTAAGGGAACTGCTTTTTCAGCATGACACACTCTCTCTCTCTTGCCTTGGAGCCAAGGAATTGGAACCTAAACACACTGTGGAGCTTCTGTTGGAACCAGTTTCCAACAAAACAATACAAAAAGGCATTAACACAGCTGTTGGTGAATCCCTAAGAGGATGGCAGAAGGAAGTGGCAGGTCAATGACTGCTATAACTTCACAGCTATTAATGACACCCATCCAGCCCAGAACATCCAGGAAGGTCAGAACATAGAAGGGAAGCCAACAAATGATGAACACCAGAATAGCAGCTGCCATCTTCAGGACTTGGTCACAAGTTATTTTGTTCTTCCCGTAGCTATTGGCCTTCAGTAAATGTTTTCTAATTTCGAAATAGCATGTTGTTATGAATATTAAAGGTATAATAAAACCAAGGATATTTTTTCATTAAGGCAATCCCACTGCACCATTGGGCATATTTCTCAGGTGGGAAAGCCATAATGCAAGTATTCACTCCTAAATATTCAGTGGTTCTAACATCTCAAAAATAAAATGTTGGCAATGAGGACAGACAGGCCATACCCCAAAACGAGGGGTACTATGTAAAATGCTTGACAGGGATTTCTTCTTTGAGACAGAATGGGATAGATGACAGATTGGTACCTATCAACACTCATGCAGGTGATAAAAAAAATGCTTGCAAACATGTTCAGGGTCAGGAAAGAACCAAAAACTTTGTGCATCATGGGCCCAAAGAGCCAGTCATGCCTGTAAGAATAATACAGAGAGGAAGAGCAGCCAAAAGCAGTAAGTCAGCTACAGCCAGGTTGAAGATATGAATGCTGGAAACCTTTTTAGGGCCCTTTTGACAACAAAACAGTGTAACCACAATAGTATTGACACGAAATCCAATCACAAAAATAATGTAGTAGAGAATAGGAATTGCATCTAAATGCTTATCAGATGGCTTGTGTAAACAGTTAAAGATAGACTCGTTGCCAGAGATGTTCACAAGTCCGAAGTAAAGACTGCTGGTGATGTTTTTGCTGATGATGGCAAGGGTGTAGTTGCCTGTCATACTGAAACGGCTGCAGCTCCTAATTTTTACACCTTCGGTGAAAAAAAATAGAACTTTCAGAACACATACAGAGTTTAGGACATCACTGAGTCATTAGAATTTTAAAGGTTTGTAGAAAGCAAAAATGGTGGGTGATTATAGAAAACATTAGGAAACACAACCATGCCTTATAAAATAAGAATGGATTTTACTTCTTGAAGAAGGCTATTTTCTCACTATTACCAAGAAGTTAAGACATTTCAGCATCAGGGACTGAAAATTCTGAAAAAACTACATTTTGCTTATCCATCCTATCATATTTTTAAAAGGTTTAAAGAAAATTAATATTTCAAATGTTTAGCCAGAACAGGAGATGCATGAAACAAATAAAAAGGAATCAAGAAGTAAGAAAAGTTAATATTCCAAAAATACTTGAGCACATATCTCAGCCTGTATACTTTCTAGAAACCACACTGCTGTCTGCTATTGCATAGAAAAAAATGCCTTATTCAAGTAACTAATTATATACAAATCACTACAGTTATGGAAAATATAGGTAACATAAGCTATGGGGAAAATGCGTAAGTGCACAAAAAACTGAAAGAGAATATGGGAAAGGAACATATTAGGATGAGGGGTTATGGTTGTTTTTTACTAATTAAAGAATAATTCACTTAGTTCTACTTTTTCACTGTTTTCACAATAATAAAATAAATAAGAAGTTATGGAATGTGTGCATATGTCTAAAAGTCCCCTATTCACATTTTAATAGAGACTACTAGTTTTAGATATAGATACTTTAATCTATTTAAAAGAAAATCCATTTCTTTCTAAAGTAGGAAAAGGAAAAGAAAAAATAGCCAAATCTGATTTAGGGTCAAGTAGAAATAGTTTTGATTGCTCAATGAAATAAGAACTGAACATCAAAGATTAATGATGATATAATTGCATTATTTTTCCTTTGCTGTCTTTTCAGTTTAATACAACTAAGTAGTAACATTGCTACTTGACTCTCAAATGTTATAATCAATGTTCACGTTTTTGTGATACTGAGTTTTTATTTTGGGGGGGGGGCAGTTGTTTTTAGTAGTAACATTTTTTAAAATAAAAGAAAATTAAGTGAAGATAAACAAAGTAAGGATAAGACTACTATGTTTCATAGTTTAAAAATACATGTAAATAAACTACTCACTGAAAAATGTAACCAGCAAACAATCTCCTAATAAAAAGCAAAGTTACCATTTTTATCTAAAGTTCATTCTCCCATAATCTTGACTTAATAAATTAACATGAAAGAATCTAAAATAAACCCACTTGAAGACTTACTGGTTGTTGGAATTTAAAACTTAGTTATCACAAATCAGCTTGCCTAGTTCCTAAGTGCACCCCTGTAAGAGAAACAGCAGTTAAATAATTTAGAAGTTTTGCAAATACAGTGTTAAAATACAGGAAAAAGGTAAAGTTCATCCATAAAATATATTTTAATTTAATGTATGTTCTACTTTCCAAATAACATATATATAAATTGTGTAGACCTACCTTAAAAATTCAGGCTGAAGAATGCTTTTAAGTCTGTGCTTATTCATTCCTTTAGACTCAGGGACTTAATAGCACCAGGTCTCTGGTTTCTTTCTTATATGTTCAGTCTGTCCACTGGGAGCCTTCAACCTACATAATTCTAGGGCTGACTTATGAACACTTGCCAGCTTTCCAGAGGGGTTTTTTTGGGGGGGCGGGGCTGCAAAACATTAATCTGAAATTCTCACTGTCTCCAATCAAAACAGCTCATTCAAATAAGTCTCAAACAAAAAAATGAAGTTTCCACAAATGTGTTAGAAAATTTTGAAATCAGTGGCTTACTTTAAAAGAATGTAATTATGTGGAGAATTTTCTTTCTTTTTCTCTGATACTAACATTCAAAAATCATTAAGGACTAGAGACTAGATAATTTATTCTAGTAGCAGAGTCTTTGCCCTCCAATATATTTTGCAACCTTCATTATTTTTGAAAGTTTTACCCCTGCTTATTAAAGAACAGTAGCAACTTGACTTGACGTCTACAATTTCTAAAACTGCTCCCTTGCTTCAAACCACTTCTGTTGTCTTGTTGCTGGAGGGGTGGTGATAGGACAGAATATAATTTTTATGTCTTGGAAAAGAGGTATTAACATTTAGTGCTGTTTTTCATAGATCTCTGTCATATTTGTGATTTAAATACAAAGCACACAAGGTGAAAAAGAAGTAGGCTTCTTTTGTTACCTACATTGCATTGTTTTTTCTTCTTATAGGAGTGGGGGTGATTGACCTTTCACAATCTGTCCAATAGAAGCAAGAGTGACAAAAGGAAGAAAGGCAGGCAGGCAGGAAGAAAGGGAGGGAGGGAGGGAGGGAGGAAAGGAAGGAAGAAACAAAGGAAGGAAGAAAAAAAAGAAAGAAAGAAAGAAAGGAAGGAAGGAAGGAAGAAAGAAAGAAAGAAAGAAAGAAAGGCAGAAAGAAAGAAAGAAAGAAAGAAAGAAAGAAAGAAAGAAAGAAAGAAAGGCAGAAAGAAAGAAAGAAAGAAAGAAAGAAAGAAAGAAAGAAAGAAAGAAAGAAAGAAAGGGAGAAAGAAAAGGTGATGGTAGTGATAATACTAGTTGACAATAAACATTATGTGCCAATTACTGTGCTATGTGTTTTATACTCAATAATTTAATAGAGAGGCAACATAGCATACTGGTGTGTATGTGGCCTCTGGCTTCACAAGTTCAGCTATAGCATTTACTAATTCTATGACGTTAACCATGTTACTTTCCTTCGTGTCTCAGTTTTCTCATCTGAGAAATGGGGATGATGTTAATTACCTATATCATGGAGTTATGAAAATTAAATGTGCTAATATTTTTAAAGTGCTTAACACTGTACCTAGCACATGGTAAGTGCTATTATAAGTTATTAATATTAACTCTGTTTTACAAATCGGGAAACTAGGGCTTACAGAGTTTAAATAACTTTTCTGTAGTCACATAGCTATTAAATGAGGATGTTTAAATTTAAACTGAGGCGATCTAATGTTAGAGAACATACTCTTAACCTCTATACTACAGGAGGGAGCACTAGTTGGTCCTTTAAACTCACGATTTGTCCTGGAAAAAAGAAAACCTGCAACATTTACAGAAAGTCACTGCTGACATTTTATTTGCTGTTACAAAAGCCCTAAAGTAGGGGGAAAGAATTTAAAGAATTGTTATGTGGAAGAGAATATTTTTCTTAACTTTATTCCCAAAATAGAGACTGCAGGTAAGCAAAATGTGTGACTAGATAGTTTGTTACAGTAAATAAAGAAACCGAAGAATCCAGCACACTTAAATGGGTATAAGGATTCCAGTTATTTATCAATTTTTCTAATAGCAGTAGAGTGCACCTATCCATGCTTGCAGGGCTGCAGGTAAAGGACAGCAGGCTCTAGGAAGTAGCTGGGGACTTAAGAAACGTATTCAGTGGAAGGGCAGAAGCAAAAAGAGTGGGTAGGTGACAGAAGACAAAACTACAAATGACATCAGACAAAACATCAGTCAAAACATTTGTCTGTTTCTCTATTAATATTGAAGTCAATTCTGTAGCAAACAGGCAGATGGGACCAGTAAGAAGAATACAGTAGATTGAAATATATAGTATATTCAAAGGTTTGCAGCATACCATTTTAGTATTTCGTTTGGTAGACTGAGTTTGAACAATGAGAAAATGTAATATACATGCACACCATTTTATTGTGTGTTTGAATCTCAAAATATTTCTTTCCTATGCTCTAGGCAGGTTCAGGTTAAGGCTCGTCTAAATGATGAAAAACTGATGCTTTGGAAACAAATGAAGGGGCACATATGGTTATCAGTAGGAGAGTTGAAATGGGAACTAATTTCACTCTTTGTTTAAGCCTGGTTTGTCCCTCCATTTCAAATGGTTTTGTTGTTTTGGGGGAGGTTTTTTGGTTTTTGTTTTTGCCACATACAGGGAAATTTTCCAGGCCAGAGCCTCCTGAGCAGTCACCACAGGTCACACAGCTCTATTTCTAGCCCCCTCTCATTCCCCTTGCAAAGAAACAGTCAGGAGGTGAGCTATAAACTTGTGAGAACAAACTGCAAGCTCGCATCCGGGAGACCTAGCCTTGAACACCCTGGAGGAGCAGGGGACCTTGTCCTGGGCTTTTGTCCTTCATTACAGTAAGTTCTGATATAAATAAAGTTTAAAGAGGCACACATTTCCCAGAGGATTAAAATGACATTTACTCTGTTTCTTCATAATTCTAGGAGTAAAAGTTTTCACAAGTCAAAGAATAATTTTGTAAATGCAGGGATTAAAGAAAAAAGCAAAAAAGGAATAACGATACTATTGACACCACTTGAAACAAGAAATACAGCATATTATTGATTCAGCAAAGAACTCCAAGTTAAGCCAACAATGTAAATACATTTGAGAGTCAAATAAATGTCAGTCATGTGAAGCAGTACAACACAAAATAATTCACTCTCCTAGGGAAGTGGATAATTTTTCTGCTGGAAGATTGACTTAAAAAGCCTCAGGACATTTGAATAAATTATGCAGCTCTTCAGGACAAGTGCAGCTTGGTTAGCAGAAGTAAACAATGGTGTCACTTTAAACTTTTTCTAGTGAATACCTACTATTTATTGTGAGATTACTTAACAGTAAAATGTAAAAGACCAGGTGAAAAAAAAATGTTCTTCTGAGGAATTTCACCTCTCTAGAAGGATACAGCGTTCAGAAAAAAAAAAACCAAGGCATTATTTTTCCCTCTCAGTCCCATTCACACACAGAGATAAGGTTTTGAAGGAGAAAAGGAATTATTAAATGCAGAAGTCTGGATATACATGCCCTTGTTAAGAAGATGAGGATTAGAGGTGCAGATCATGAAATGCTTAAATATATATGGGTCTTCCTTTTAGTTGTACTTTTTCAGAGTCATTTTACTTTCCCCCACCCCAGCCCCTCTTTGAGTCCCTATCCAGACCAATAGCATTTCCACTTCTCCCA